CCCATGTGGGTGGGGGCCTGAATTAACTGGGTCAAGTCCAAGGCCGTCATGGAAGCCAAGAACTCCTGAGCTGCCGCCGACGTCCCGCCCGCTGATGGCAAGTTGAAGTCCCCCAAGACCATAAGTCTGGGGGTCTCCACCGCCACCCCGGCTATCACGTCGGCCAGCTCAGGCAGGGCTGTTGATACATAGCAGGGAGTTATGTGCCAAAGTAGTTTTTTAAAAATTTGTGAAAGTGGACACCTGCCTGCACAAAACACTTCTGCCTGCTCTTCGTTGCCTTTTTGCTCCAGCTTATCATCCTGAGCAGAACTGACAACATTCTCCTGAGATACTTATTAGAGAAATATATTAAGAGACCAAAGAAGGGAAGTATAAAACTTACTTTAAAAGAAAAATAAGCAATAAAAGAATCTCTTTCCCTTTGTTATGTTACAGTACAGTTAGTTTATAGCACAAAATATACGTACTACTGGACAAATTGTGAATCATTGTCAATGAATTCACTGACAAATCAGTGAATCCCTGGGGAACAGAAGCTGAGACAACTTCAACATTATACAATATTAAAGACACATAATCCAGCAAATTTGATTGCTTACTTATTATTTATGTTCAGTTTTCTACAGATTCATAATAAGAAAATAGTTCGCTTAGATTCACACTGAATCTAAGGTGCTTAAACCTTCATATGCAATTGTATCACTCCACACATAGGTTTTTAAAAGTGGGTGAGAAATAATATAGTCCTATTATAATACATAATCCTGAAACAATGTATTCCTAAACCTAAAATATATTACTGTATAGCTTAAATGCTTCTTTTAACTATAAGTTTAAATGTTATTAATTATAAAAATGTTAAAAATGATATATTTAAAACATATTCTTGTTGATTTACATGCAGTGTATTTTTAAAATGATATATTAAGATTTAAAACTTTACAATGATGTTTAACTTAGCAATACCATTTTCTATTGCCCTAATGCCAAATATCCTAAAATCTCTTTATCTTTTATATTTCAGTATTTATACTTTACTTTCTCTCATTACATCTTTTTATTTGCAGCTGATCAAGGTAGCTTTTGATGAGGAAGTGAGCCCTGAAGTTGTAGAGATATTTAAGAAGCAGCTGATGAAGTTTCGCTATCCTCAGTCCATCTTCAGTACTTTTGCTTTTGCAGCTGGCCAAACAGCACCTCAGATCATCTTGCCAAAGCAAAAGGAGAAAAACACTTCCTTTCGGTAATGATTTATTTATGTGTCACATGTATTAGAAATATTCTTTTAGTATTTTAGTGTAGAAATATAGAGTGGCATGGTGGCCTAGTGGTGAAGATGCTCGCCTCCTACTTGGAAGTTTGAGAGTTCAATCCTAGATAACGGCAGATGTTTCTGTCTCAGGGCGCAAAGAAAAGATGTCTGCCAAGAACTCAGCATAGGTGTCAGGAAGGGTATCTGGCCAGTAAATGCTGAGCTCTATCCAGTTACCCCGATTCTACCCAACTAGGAACTACAGTATTGTAAAAAGGGGAAAAAATGTTCTTAATTTTAGTTGATTTCGATTTTATACCAGGCTTTAACAAAGGAGGTAGTGCCATATGCCTGAAATAAAAATGAAATTATGGTGAAAATGAACAAGTAAAATAATAGTGCATTTACTGTGATCAACCCACACTTCTGTATTTCTGATTATTGAAAGAGGAAATGCATTCTGAATGTCTATTTAAGGTACACACATGAAAATGGTTTGTGAAAGCTAAACTTGTGGGCATAATAGCAGGTATGGGGGCTCCACAGTATACCACTCATTGAAATAAAGCTCAGCACAAACATATTTTGGAGGAAAGAGGAGAATATACAGTTGCTAGCATTCTCTTTCAGCAAAAGTACAAATATTTTTACCTTTTTTCTGAATTTAGCACTCTTTCAAAAACAATTGTAAAAGGAGCAAAACGTGCAGGGAAAATGACAATTGGCCGGCAGCACTTACTAAAAAAAAAGACAGGAACAATCATAGAGGAAAGGACAAATCGTCCTGGATGGAATGAAGAAGATGATGTCTCAGGTAATAATAGATTGGCGCCTTTTTTGCCACTGTCTTGTTACACAAGTCACTATATGCTAAGCTACTAAAATTATTGCACCTTTAGTTTCAGATGACAGTGAAATGCACACGAGTGGTACTTTGAAAGCATCAGAAAAATCAACAATGGAGCAGCTAGTGGAAAGAGCTTGTTTTAGAGACTATCAGCGGTTGGGGTTAGGAACCATCAGTAATAGTTCTTCACGTTCAAAAACAGAATACTTTCGAATAACAGCTTTAAACAGGATGTATTCCCTTTGCAGAAGGTAAGCCAGCTTACTTATTAACATAGATCTAAGTTACATGATCCACTTGTCACAATTTTTAGTCTATATTGCAAATGGCTGAAAAAAATATTCTTTATCTCTGTGGAGGGAAGACTTCTAGTTCAGTATCAAAGCAGATACTTTATCTCAAATAAAGTTCCTGATATCTGCAGATTGGGTTAGGAAAGACAGTGCTTCAATTCACTGAATGTGATATGGTATTAATCTAATTGGACCAGTAATTGGACCCTTATATTTCTAAACAAGAGGAGATGTAGTTTGTTGATAACTAAATTATCATCTGTGTGCAGTCATTCATGAGATACCAACATTTAAAAATCATTTGATCTACAGTTTTTCTCATTGCAATACTAATATGATTAATGTTTATCAGCAAATAAAACACTTTAGCTTTTAAAAAAAATTGATAGGTATGTGCACATGTAGAAACTGAAGTATATATAGAATATTAAGAGTTAAGGGTATAGTCAGAAGTTAGGATTTCTAGCATTTAGCAACCATAAAGACTGCTCAATAAAACTGTCAGAATCTTTTTATTTTTTTGTGGACATTTGTTTAGATGTTCATAATCTTCCCATTACAGCTATTTAAACACTATAGACTGGTTTCAGATGGATAGTTTAGGAATGTTATCAGTCACTGAGTGATTTCCCTTTATAAGCATAAGTGTCTGTTGTGCTGCTCCCTTTGTACTTTTTACCCAGTACTTAACTACTGTAGTTCTGTTTTTTTTAATTTGTTGACAGTGGCCTACCAGGGAGAAGAGAGATTGCTGCTGAAAAATGGATCACTGCCCTTGTAGAGTTTTTTTAGAGGTTTTTTTCCTCACTATATCTTTGTGAGAACTGTTCTCAGCTAGAGAAAGCAATATCTTTTTTAACTGCCTATCTATTTAAAATACTTACATATTTGTTACCAAATTGGTTCATTTTGCATCCAGGAACTTTCATGCAAGAACAGTTTCATCCATGATTGTGGTGTTTCTGTCTGTGTGTGCATAGTGGTAGAGTGATAGCTCACATGTAGCTAGAGATTGAAAAGTTGGGTGAGAGAAGACTTTGATATTGATATAAGCAGGCAAAACAAAGCAGATTTTTTTTAATCGACTGCATGAAATGCACTAATATTGTTAAGATCAGGTTGTCTGCTAACAATGACCTGTGAAGTCTTACTTTAGGCTGGAGGAAACCTCACTTGAATTTCAGCATCATAAATAGCTGAATGAATTGAATTGCAATTGATCCAGAAAAAAAATGGCTTTGTTGCCCAAGCAGACAGTATCATGGAAATAAGCATTTTAGAGTTGATGTTGAATAAAGACAAATGCTTAATGCTTAACTAAAAGGTGTCCTGGAGAGGTGGAAGAATGGGGCCCAGAGTTTCAGCTACTTCACTAGTATTTTTATTCCTGTTCCTCCTCTTTCAGAATGCTATCTCTTCCAGGAAGCCTACCTATATGACTTTATTTAAATTAAATAAGATTTATTGTACATTTTAGAAATTATAACACTATTGCTAACATTAGTTGTGTAAGGCATCTTAGGCAGATCATTTATATAATGGTGTACAGGAAAAATCTTCAGTACATTTGTAGCAATCATTGGAATATGAAAAAGAAAAACACCCAGTGAATTTTGCAACCACCCTTGGGAATGTACTACTTTCATAAGAGCTTAATTACTTTATTTTTTAAAACTGTGTTTAATATGCAAGTTTGTGTTGTGTATTTCCAAAACATACAGATCATCAGAAATATTTTAAATGTGTTTATTTTCATATATGCACAAATGACCACGGACACTTTCATCCAAATTCATCATTAAAAAATGTTCCAAAACTCTAGAATCTCGTTGGAAAACTTGAACAAAACTTTTCAGCTGAATATTTTTTTTATAAAAAGTTATATAATCAGCTATTTGTATACTACAGCATTAAGCAGATTTTGAGGCAAGCCAGAGTTCATTTCTTCTCAGGGCCAAAATATTGATTGTGTTACATTTGGAACATCTAAACTTTCTTGTTCATAGAAAGTAAATACTTATAAACAGTTAGTTGTGGACAAGTATGAAATATACATGTTATTTTTTATTGGTTTCTGTAGTGACTGCCTTACTTTTGTATGATGCTAAAGATGCCTTCTATAATATAACATATTACTATAATTAAAAATAAAAATAATATAATTAAGCTGATAGAGCAAAACATAGGGATAGAATTACTAAGCCAATTCAGCAGAATGAAGAAAAGGACCCTCCCAAGAGCATGAGTTGCATTAAATTATTGTTTCTAATAACCTTTATTTCAATACTTAATCCAATAATATGTTAAGAACTGTGCTGGCGAGAACTGAGCAAGTATAGCCAAGATTCCTTCTTTTTAATTACTTATCATGGAAAAATAATAATAAAAGCGTTCCTTAATTTTGAACCTGCAGAATTGAGTATGAACAATAAAGACACCTGTGCATTCAGCTTTGCCCATTCCCACCTCCAGAGTTGGGAAGAAATCTAAAGGCATTTGGCAATTACACGCACAAGGCACTTATAGTAGAACCTCTTTCCTGCTTTGGATCAATAAAAATTAGTAGAGAATTTTACTGACTATAACTGAAAAAAAATCCCAGCATATCTGATCAGCACTAGCCAGATTGGAAAAGAAAAAGATAGGCAAGAACTTGGCAGTGAGAATTTTTGGCTTGGCTACCAATAATTATTGGCTGTACCCAGCCAATATTTGTGAAATACTGTGTATTGATGCTCTGTTTTGTAAAGGAAATAGTGGGTTAAAAATAAGCTGTTGAAGTAAAAATATTTTCATCAATCTCCTATAAAAATATTGTCTGCATTAAAATTGTCAGTTCTGGATGATCGCAATGCTTACCTTACTACAGAACATAACCCTACCAATAAAATAAATAAATAAATGGTATTAATGCCATTAGCAAATTGTAGGAAATATGGACTGAAAAGGAACTGCTGAAAAGAGCCAAAGGGGAAAGTCTACCATGAGAAAGTCATTTGGGGGGAGGGGAGGGATGATATCTTGACTTCTCAATAGTGGGCAGGTAATAGAATCTATTTTACATATTCCATTGTATGAAAGCAATGGTTTTTGAACCTGCTTCCTGAGACAAAAAGCTTACTTTAATATTGATCAATTAAAATGATGAAAAATTGTTAAAAGTTTTTAAGCATGCAGATTTTTTCTTGAAGTAGTTTACAATGCATATACGGTATATATTTTTAAAAGCTTATTGTGTGGGAAGATTTATAAACAAGAGCAACCCCCCCCCAACAGGTTTTAGACGGTCCAATGAATAGTGGGCTTCTGACTCTTTGGGCTATGGCAGATTTGACAGGAAATTACCCTAGCCTGGAAATATCTGTTAAAACAGATATAGGTGATATGTTGATATGTTAGGTGGTCTTTTTTGGGTTGTTGCCACTGCTTCTCGGTGTCAGAACAAAGGTGTTTATTAGATCTTGGAGTTTTCAGATGTTCTAAGTTCACACAGTGTCTATTCTGTTGTTATACTGGAAACTGACCAGGAGAATTCTGTAATGAGAAGTCACATTAGCTTTTCTTTATAACCAATTCCATTGTATGTCTTCCCCTTTTTCACTTTATTCCAGTTACCCAGGATTGCTAGTGGTACCTCAATGCGTACAGGACAGCAGCCTGCAGAGAGTAGCTCGCTGCTATCGGCACAATCGCTTGCCAGTGGTATGTTGGAAAAACTCAAAAACAAGTACATTCCTGTTTCGAGCTGGTGGTTTCCATGGGAAAGGAGTTGTTGGCCTTTTCAAATCACAAAATACACAAACCTCAGGTGAGGTTATGATTTGTATGAATAATCTCATAGAATGGGAAGGTGTTTATATCATCAGTTTTTATTACATTGTGCCAGTCTTTACAAATACTTTAGGTCTTTCTAAAAAAAACTAATACTTTCTCCAAACAAGCGTCTCCAGATGTTCTGAACTTAACCTCCCCACAGGTAAAATGTACTGGTAGTTAAAATGCACTTGGAGGGAAGTAGAATGGGGAAAATTATCTTAGTGTATCATGTATCATGGAACCTATAGCTAATAAATGCAAAATTATTGAGGTTCTATCTTGTTATAACTTTTAGGGAATAAGAGAAAAGTATTTACTATTTCACTCATTTTTGAGCTTAATGCCTGATCATCTCTGCCATGTAAACAGAAGACATGTTGCCTGGCTAAATCCAACGTATCATACATAGAATGTTTCTTACTCATCAACCCTCACTGCCTACCACACATCCCACAAATGTGACTATTTGCTAGGCAGTGAACTAAAATGAAAATCAGTATTTGTTGTATGAGGTAAGACTGTGAATATGGTTTATTCTGTGCTTTGGTAACCAATTGTCATTATTAGCCTGCTTGAAAAAACTTGCCCTATGAAATTTTTGAAGAGGATAATAAAGAAATGAATAGTTATGTGCAAGTTATATAAGCCATGAATCATTCAATAATTTAAGATGTGAATAGATTTTAATTGCTTAAATACTTCCAGCATTATCCTGAGAATATTATTCTGCTTTGTATGAGTTTGTGCTTTGAATGTATCCACACAATAAAAGAAAACTCTTCGATGTCATTAATCTACAAATCATTCCTGTATAGCTTTTGTCGGTATGTCCATTTAGTACTTTCATGTGTTTAACTGCAAGAATTGAGCAATTGGGGAAAAAATGTACCACCAAGGACTTTGGATTTGCCCCAAGAACCAGCCCCAAAGTCATTGTTTGCTTAAGCCAAACTATATACAAACAGACACTTCTTTCTTGTCATTATTTGGAAAAATTAAAATATGCCTGTCTGTTCCTTATACATACCTAAGTGGTTATATTTGTAGTTTTTAATGGCCAAGTACTCACTCTATATATATCTGTAGTGTGATTACTCAGTGGTCTTGCTACTCCTTCAGATCTTCCAGAACACAAAGCCTAAGACTGAAAGAGATTCTGGAACTGTTTTCAAACTGAGTCTTGCTTGCTTGGGGCAAAAATATATAGAGTGCTTAGAAACCCAGGAAAAGACTGGAGAAAAAAAAGGAGTGAAAGGTGAAATTGAAAAATTAGTAAAAGTGAATAATATAGGGAAAAAAGAGCAAGAAAATGTTGAATTGAAATAAGGATTTAAAAAGTAGTAACCAGGCTCTAAACAGACAATAGTGAATGTTAGAACAAAAACCTAAATTAAAACCTTAATCTTTTTAGATATTATTTGTCAAGTTCAGGTTCCCTGGATGTTTGCACCTCTATTGAGATATGGCCATTTATTTACTGAATTTGCTGCACAGTTTCAGGTATATTTTGGAAATGATTAGGTAGTGCTTCAATCATCATATGAATCTTGAGTCATATGACATTTCAGTAAAATGTTCCTTTTTTTTCAGGCTTCTTCATAAGTCTGAAGAAAAAGTATGGCTGCTTTGTAAGTTAATTGAATCAGTTCCATAAAACAGTTGCATCTTTTTTTTTCAGGCTTGTGCAAAAGCCCTCCAAAAGTGAGTTTCTTTAATAAACAGCAGAGTGGTGCTATGCTTCCATGAGTCCAAAGCATTTCTTCTGAATCCTTTTCAGAGCATGCATCGCTCTGTTATTCATGCTCATATGAGTAGGCCAGTGGGAGAACAATATATGGAAGAGCAGAAAATGCTTGTGTATCCATAAATAACATTATATTGTACCTACTGAAATAGTAAAGGTATCTTCATAAGGATATTTTAGAAGCAGCATTCTTCATTAATAATTATGTTTTGATTTCATCTGCAGGCAGAACAATTAACCCTAAAATTGCCTCATATTACTTTCACAGTGATAGATGTTTATATGCCTTATCCATGCTGGGATGAATTTATAATCTGTTTCCTGTATTTAGTTTTTATTTATTCAATTTTATTTTTAATTTGAATAGTTATATTTATTTTATCTGCCAGGATCACAAGAGCAGATTTCAGGTAACTAAATAAACACATCAATTGGATGCTGTTTTCATTTCAGAGAAGTGAAATGTGCTGTACAAATCAAGAGTATAATCTGTTTCCTGCATTTGTTTGCATAGCTCCTACATCACTTGAATCATCAAGCAGCATAGAACAAGAAAAATACCTTCAAGCCTTATTGAATGCAATTTCTGTCCATTGTAAATTGAATGGTAATAATACTCTTACCATCAGACCAGCAATTGCTTTATCTCCAGGTAATATGATCCTTTTGGATAGCTTTCTTAAAATCCAGCATTTAAAAAGAAAATGTTATATTTATAATGAACTTTCTTCTAATTTGATTTTCACATTATATTTTCTCATTGCCTTAATAAATCATTGCCTAGTAGCTGATTTGTCTCTGAAATGTTTGCAAGTATACTTTTCAGAATATAAAAGTAAAATACTTTGAACTTAATTAAAATTGTTAGCTAGTGAAATTCTGTGTCTCATACATGAACAGTATTTTAGATCTATTAGAAATTTACAAGCAGTTTGAAATGCTTAACATAGCTTTATCAACATACATATAAATATGTCTTGAAGGTGAAAGGTTAAAATGTGATATGCTTTTTGCAGAATAGGTCTGGATAAAGCCATTAAGAAATGCATTAATATTCTATTTCAGTTGTCATGTGATGAAACCTGTAGGGTTCAAACAAAGGTAACGCTGCTGTTTTAGATACAGGAGCATGCAACTTGCCAAGTTTGTCCATTTGGCTTAATCAGTTGGTGAAATCAAGTGTATCTAAATTCTGGCTTTTTTCATAACATAACCCCGTCACCAATTGTGCATGCTTTGCTTCATTTGTTGTTAAATACTTTGATTGTGTTAGCCATGCCTAACTTCCTGTGATGCTGCAAATGTATACTTGCTATTCCTAATTATGTGTAATGTCTCTTAAATGTGGAAAAGTGGCAGCAGCTAGATAAACGAACCATTAAAAGAATATTTCTATATATGTGTCATTTTTGTTTTCAAATACAGGGTTCGAATTAGGGTAATATATATAGGTAATGTGTCAACTTGAATGATATTTTACATTTAATCTCTCCATTCTTTTTGACTGACTTTAGGCACTGAAAGGAGGGCTTCAAGAATGTCTACTGTGTTTAAGCAGGTAGTGCCAGGACATTTGGATGTAAATCTATCCAATAGCTTTGCTCGAGGAGGTTAGTAAGACTAGTTCAAAGCCTACCCATGGATGTAAGGATTATTCTTGCATTTTGCCTCCCTTGATTGCATTATACACACACAAATTACAACTTTTTATTAAAATTGCCTGAACTGCACATCAATACATGAGTATGCATTTTGAAATAAAGATTGCACATGCAAACGAATATGCATATAGTTATTGTCATTTGGGGTTTTTTTTGCATCAGCAATAAGGACTGGTAACAATGAGGTTTTCTAGATTTCAACTGTGGGCATTTTATCAGATGGGAGATGCCACGAAGAACATATGTTTATATATTAAATAAATATAAACATTTTTTAAAAACAACATATTTTAGGTGGGATTCTAAGTAGGCCACCTGTCATAACATTTACTCATATATTACTTACACGTTCAATATTTGACCACATGCACAGAATATGAAACTACATATGGAGCATTTGAGGACAATGCTTTTTCTTCATAAAATAGAATAGCCATGATTTCCAGCAGCTATTTTCTGCACAATCACAAATGTGGATCATTAAAGTAATAATTAAAGTAATTTCTGTCTAAATTGACTATAGATGATAATGTTTTAATAATGAATAGATTAGAAACTAATGGAAGAGGTTCTTTTGAAATATAATAAATCCTTTATTGTAACACTGCCATAAAATTTATAATTTATCTTATGTGGTAGATCAAGAGTGACAACTGACAAATAAGCTTATGACAAAGGTTTTACTTGTTAAGACTGACACTTAAAGACAAAATGCCTCCAAAGTTAGAGTTATTCTTAGAATTAAATTGAGCTCAAATTTAACAGTTTTTGCACAAATCACAACTGACTACTCTGAAGTTTCTTTCATTACCAATATCTAATTTAGAAAGCAATAGCTGTTTTTTGTTGTTGCTATTGATAGGAGTTTAAATATTTGATCATCTACTGCAACTCACCCAGAATCTGCCAGTAGAGTTCTATCTACTTCTTTTTCTACTATCTCTAATATAACAAATTACGGACAGTGCTGAATTTGGAAGTTAAATTTATTTAATTTGGGATAGATTAGGTGTAATCTATTATTAGGTGTAATTCACTATAGCAATACTCTATAGTGTCAGCCTGAGAAGGGTTTTGTCTACTAACAGAGTAGAATCATAGAGTAGACATGTTTCCACTATCTTCTACTAAGACCAGTCATTGTATTGGTTGGAATGCCTATGACAACATGTAAGAGATTCATACACATCATATTGGAAAAATCTAGTTGCCAAAGTTACCAAAAGCTTGCCTAGATTTATTCTGTAAGCAGTCCAAAAAATATTTAGGGTTCCCCACAGAACAGTAAGATAAATCTCGGATAGCAATAATTTTTCTTCTATGTAATTAAGTAATTTCTCTCCCAGTCATTGCTCTCATAAAATCTTAATATAATAATGAAACATGCTGAGGGTAGAAACAAAATATAATCACTTTTTTCTTTTTTCACATGACAATTTACCTCCATAATGCCAGGAGTACCAAAAAGCAGCAATTTACTGTAACAGTAACTGTGAATTCAACCTCATATTTCATTTAGAACTTTCTTGGCAACATTTTTATATTTTGAGATGAAATATCTTTTCAAAACATTCATTATGATGTTAATATTTATTTGTACTCTTACTTTCAGAAGATTGTGTATATTAGCTGATATATAATGTAGATTTCATATAAAAGCATTCCATCTCTAGGAAATCTCAAGGAAAAAAATCAGAACCATAAGCAAGGAAGCCATATTTAGAGTGATTACAACTATCAGCATAATTAAGTGCAATTAAATGCTATGTGAATATTCTTGATTGATGTAATATTTTTGTCATTTGTCATCTTTGCCATTTAACATGAATGGAAGGTAGCCATTTTTTAATATGTTCTCTGTCTTGATTATAAAGAATTATAAAGAATACAAAAACAGAAGAAAACTGCCTTAGTTGGCAGAAGCATCTTACTGGAGTACTTTCTTGGTCAGTTTTAAACAATTTAAAACACTGCCTTTATTTTTTAAAATTAAGTCAACATTTAAAAGACAAGAATTATGCCACCCTTCCTTATGAATCTATTAATAAAGCTGTCATATTGCAAAGTTTATGTGAACAAATGATTGTATTTAAGAATACAGTACAAATTGCTAGAAATAAAGTCTTTGGCTTAGGTTTGAATTATAGGATACTTATTCAAGTGTATGAACAAGGTTTAACATCCAAGTTAACCTTCAGCCACCTAAATATTTATTAAATTGTAACATTAGTGGAATAAAATGTTTCAAAAGGAATAACATTCCTTGTTGCTCTCAAATTATTTAATGCTTTTCTAATGCTAGAAAAATTTAAAATCAAAACTAAAATGCTTTTCCTTAAGAATCAGAAGTTATTTCAGTGAATTTCTATTTAAACATACAGCTCCATTATACAGCATGATTTAATTAGCTTAATACCATAAGACTAAATATTATGTTTAATAGTCAATGTACTAGTGCTATAGAATAGACTCAACAAAACCAAAATTTTGCATGTTAATTTGATTGCACAAACACATAGTTTGCATGGTGCTTGAAATAAAGAGATACAGAGATACATTTGTTTGATCTTTCACCTTGCATTGATTTCATTCTTCTACCAATAAAAATAAATAATAGTGATAGTTGTGAATTTTGAACTGATACATTTTTCCAGAATTTGTTTTCATAGTGGACACTCTTCCAATTGGTACAATTCACTGTCACGTGGCTATTATGCATGTCTGCATATACTACAGTGCCATAAATGTGATTCTGTATGACAACTGATCTACACTTTTTCTCCTTGCAGCTTGATTTAGAGATTGACTCCTTGATGCTAGCTGTTAAAACTCAAAATGTTACAAGCCATTATTTTTATCATAATCAAAGCAGTAGAAATATTCAAGTAATCTTTCTTTTTTCTGTTCAATTTGCTATGCCTGCTTTATTGCAACGTCTGCCCCATTGCTTTTCCTTTTCCTCCTGCCCTTACTGATAACAGCCAGTGGTTGGGTACAGAGATAAATGTTTCATACAAATTCCAAATTAGAAAGAATCTAAATTTTACCACCTCTTTTATTATGTGTATCAATGCATGTTAAAGAAGCTAGGTTGGTTTGCTTAGGCATGAAATATAACTGCCAGGCCATAAGCATTATGTTTATTGCATAATGTTTATACTCAGTTCACTTACCGAAAACTAAATCATGAAGAACTTTTGATACACAAGTACTCTTGCTCACATAAATACTAATGGTTATTAAAAAGGGAATAAACATCTAAATTATAAAATAAAATAGAGTCGTATATCTATTAGCTTCTTTTAAGTATTATCTTATGATCGCAAGAGATTTGAAAGTTACCTACAGTATATATACTTTAATCACTGTAACCCTTCACTGGCAAATGTGGTAATCTGCATGTGCTTTTCAATCTGTAATCATTGCTTTTTATGTAGTGCAAGGTATAATCAAGCCCTGTGTTAATAATGGCAAAAGGGGAAGTGATGCTTTATTTTAGAGTTCTTTCATTATTATTTTTTTAGAAAAGTATAATGTGATCATTTTGTCATCTAATTCTCTGAGTTTTGAATGGCAACTGATTCTTTAATTATTTATTAGTAATAATAAAGATTGCTTACCATTTTCTTTATTTCAGAGATTACTTTAAATAATGGTTTACCATCTTCAGTTTCATCACTAAAAGTCAGTAGGCTGGCTTTGTATATAGGTGGGACAGTTCCTATCAGCAATATTTGTGTGGCAACACTTCATTACTTTTTAATCATGTCTATTGCTATAATACAGTTTCTCAGTAATAATATCAGTTGATCTGGAATTCTCAGCTGCATTATTAATTTTGTTAATAAATCCATAGAGATTTACACTTGCTGTTCTCAAAGAGTATATTACTTCACATGACAGTTTTCTAGGGCCAGAAGAGCTGAGGAACCATTGATGGGAAACAGTAGAATCTACTTATCTCTATTACATGTAATGACCATCTACACTGTAATGGTAGCATACTTCTGGCATCAGCTAGATTGCTCAGATCATACAATTAACTTCAGTCTTAGTGCCTGAGGAATAAGAAATCACATGGCCCAAATTCAGTGTACTAATGTTAGTAGTAATATAGGAAGTGGTTTTATAATGGCATATATGCCAACAGCATCATGTTAATTAGTAACTGCTTGTTTCTGTTCTCTAATCCCAGTGCAAATTAATTTACCTCACTTAAAAGAGGCTCACACTGGTTCTAGGTAATGTGATTACACAATATCTACAGCAAGCTAAATATACAGAAAAGGAGTTTCATAAAGTATTAAACATGAGGTGATTTGAATGTGATTATTATGGTCAATCATGGTTATCAATTCAGAGCAGGTATGTTATATTTAATGTAATTGATTATAATAGCAATGCAAATATGTTTCAAAGTAATATACACATAGGATATTTGTAACTGCCCAGAGTCATTGGGAGGCAGCATATAAATTTAATTTTAAAAGCTTATGCATGCGAAAATGCAAAATATTTCATTACATGTTTAATTTTTATGAAGGTGTGTGGGCCAGCCTTCGTTCTAGTGGTCGATTTATCAGCACTCAGATGCCATTCCTTGATGTGGGTGCAAGATTAGCAGGAAAGGATGGTTCACCTTCATTCACCAGCAGCGGTGCCTATTTGCAGAACCGACTCCTCAAGCGACAAGCTGCTCTTTACATATTTGGAGAAAAATCTCAACTCAGAGTATGTCTGTTTTCCATATACACTTCTAGGCTTTTGGTGGGATAATATTTCGACTTGTTTATAACTGTAATGCAACACAGCAGTGAACTGTGTCCATTGGAACGCTCTTGGTTTTAATAAGTCTTAAATCTCACAATCGTGATGGACTGCAAGATCTCAGTTGAAATAGCATAGGGACAGCGATTCTGTCCTTTCAGAGTCTTTCAAGAGATGCTCCATACATTATTAGAAGCAGCAAAATCAGAAAGAAAGGAAGCTGCTAAGCATCCCTGAAAACCTCCCTAAAGGCCTAAAATGGTGTCACCAAAACTTGTCAATCCAGTCTTGAGGTACTGGAGAGTACATGAGTAGAACCCGTTTCATGTGACTGGGGAACTCAAGTTGCCCATCCCTGCATTAGAATATAATGTGTGCAAAGTTGCCCCCCCCCATTACACACTACCACTGAGAGCCCCCCCCCATTACACACTACCACACTACCACTGAGAGCAACATGTTGAACTTGATACCTGGAGCCTAACAATATAATTTCATTATTAGTTTTAATTATGGTAAGTTATTTTATTCTGTTAAAATTAAAGACTATTTGTCACAGTCCATTCTTTTCAGTGGAATGGTTGTTGAGTTGAGTGTCCACCCATATTTGGGTATAACTAAGTACACAAATATCATTTTTACATATGACTGGTAGATCTGAATATGATTGTATTTACTTATTATTGTTCAGTGTTGTGTTTATTCATTTAACATATTTCATAATAGCATTTCAGGACCGTGGTTTTCATGAGGAAGCTTACAACACAAAATGGTAGATTCAGTACCAAATTTTAAAAGTACCTCAAGTTTAAATCATTGTTAAATAAGCCAAGTAAAATACAGTCAAATGTATAACAGCAGCAAATACCATAAAACTTTTTAAAATTGAAATCTAGTGGCAATTTTAAAGCACAGGTTGGTTTTCAGCCAATCAACAGATTTGGATCCAAACCATATCAATTATATATAATATTAACAGTATGCATAGCAAAATGTTCCTGCAACATTTATAGTGGTGTCCCAACAAAGTCACATAAACTGAGAAACCCTTCAGTTCTAAATAGCACTTTTATATTCAGTAACATCCGCTGTAATCTTCTCTCCTAGTATCTAAAACTCCTCTCCTAAGCTATCATAAAAAGGAAAAGTCCAAACGTGGACTTTTCATTACCATTTTTCATATTATTCTAATTAGATTCCAGGGGAGAGAAAAGCCACAGTCTGCATTACATTGATTTTGTAATTTTGATACAAGGATCTGCATAATATTTTTAAAAATGTACTGTCATCACATTACAGCAAAATAGACCAAAAAGAGAGTTGTAGGTCAAGAAGTCATTTGAACTTTGCAGCCAAAAAACAAATACAAAGAAAGTTATGTAAGATATATATTATGCCTCGTAATACCATGTCATTTCAAGTCTCAGAAAAAATGTTAAGTTCTTCCAAAAAGCAGGGTAGCAAAACCAAATCCTTTAATAAATATTTTAAGTGTATGTTTAAAATGAATAACATGCATTCTTTGTCCACAGGGCTTCAAACTTGATTTTGCTTTAAATTGTGAATTTGTTCCAGTTGAATTCAGTGACATCCGGCAAGTGAAAACTAGTTTTAAAAGACTCATAAGTGCTTGTGTTCCTAGCAATATTCCAGCAGATTCTGAAATAACATTCCTGAAAGCTCTTGGAGAGTCTGAATGGTTCCCTCAGGTAAAGTGATATGTGGCAGTCATAAATGCATGTGATTTCTGAGGGAAAACTAAGGCTATTTTGATTCTGTAGGGAAAAAAATCATCATTTTTTTTTCTGCATTAAATAAAAACTGTATTTCTATAGACACAAATAAACATCCTTCAGTGAATATTTATATAATGGCAAAATGGATTTAACCACTGGGATACTCACTTAATCACAATCAACCATAAAAATGTTGCATTTGGCTATAATAATTTAAATCATCCCCTGAAGTCAATTTCCATTTTCTGTTGCTTTTAATAAAAGAAATTCAGTTTAGAAACTATTGTGATAGATTATCCCATAGTAAATATCTCAGCACTATATTATTGGCTAAGTCAGGATTATGGCACAAGTATATTGAAAATAAATAGAGTTTTTTTCTTGATAATGGTTTGTATTTAAATATTTTAAGGTTATTTGATGTCCAATGTAGGTTACAAGTGTTATTTAGATAATTAGCCAGTCATTTATTTTTTAAAGGCCATTGACAATGCAATGAATTGTATTGTGGAGTTTAATCCCTAGAATCTATATAATTATATCATGTTTTGTAATTGTAGAAGCTATTGTAAAACATGTAACATGCCACAATATAGTTTGAGAGCCAACTGGACTTGAAAAATTTATGAATGAATTCTATATCAAAAGAGTACAGCACTTGGCTAATTCTGATTGCCAAATCTGGTTAATACTTAAATGGAGGACCATCAGAAAATTGAAGTTGTAAAATTAGACTTGTAAGATAAAAACAAATTCTGAAGGAAGGCATTGTTCAGTCACTTGTATATTATGGCCAAGAAAATAATATAAATGTGTCCATTAAATCTTCAGTCTGAAGGCAAACTTTAAAGCATTTGATCCATAAAACTCCTTTATGGATCAGTGCAAGGGTACCCATATTATTTAAAGCTGTGTAAGCATTTTTATTTAATAGGAAAAAAAGATGTTCCCTCTCTAGTCATGAGGTCTAGAACTACTAATTCAAATGTGGGTCCAAATGAGGAGAAAAAAACCCTCACTGTACTTAATTTTTCATTTTGTTGTTTTTGTTTTAAACTTTATAATCTATTAGTTCAATAAGGCTTGATTCAAGCTGAGTATCTAATATTTTCAATAGTTTTAATAAAACAGAGTTTTATTAGTTCTTATATAAACTATCATTCATCTTAGTAACCTGTTTCCTTTATGTTTTGTATAGCTTCACAGAATAATACAATTGGGTGTTGTCATATCAGAGCTACTTGAAAATGGTTCCTCAGTTTTAGTTTGTCTGGAAGATGGCTGGGACATCACGGTGCAGGTCAGTTATTATGATCTGCATGTATAGCAGGCAAAGAGCGAGAGACTGGAGTATATTTGGACACGAAATGTAATATGAAGAGGAAATTAAATAAAAATTCCTTTTGATGCTGCAGAGAAAAGCTTTCCATTAGCAAAGGGAACTAGTCCCCTCTAGTGGAAGGGGATTATCTTGATCAAAATGTTTTATACTTAAAGCTCAATTATATCCTGAAATCATTCTGAGAATACACAAAAGAGGAAGAAATGCGTTTCATTTAAAACCCCATCATTCAAAAGAATATCCTGTGAACACTTTTCTAGAGAATTTTAGCTTCATCTCTAAAATTCTTTGTTCCTCTTCTCAAACTGAGGTACAATTTCCACAACTGTTTTAAATAGGATGTAATAAGTCCCAGAAAAAAGTAGTATCTCTCATACCTTCTTATCTGCAAATATTCTTCTCACATACTATTAAAGATGACTTCCTGATGAAAAACTAGAGGTAAGAAATTGTTATCCTGTGGAACAAACAAATAAAATAAATATGATTGTATTATTTCAAATATAAGTTTAAAATTTCTTTTGTCTTTAAATTGAAAATTTCTGAATTTCCATAAAATCTAGCATTATCAAACATTAGCTATCTGATTTTATTGCTTGAGCCTGGTGCTTAATATTTCCATTTATGTCTATGTCTAATTCATAGCAAAAAAATGTCCTTAGGACACCAAGAGAAAGAGGGCAACATAATTTTTTTTTCCCTCTACCTACCAGTACCTCAATTCTCTCACTACCATACTCAATTTTAGTCAAATTTTTTGTAATTATCCTTATGTGCCATAATCTGCATTTTTTTAAAAAAACATATTTTTGGCATGGTAACTGACTAAAGTTTAAAAGTTTGATTTGAAGGTGTTATCACATTTCTTTTCTTCTCATGGTGTGAGAGTTTTGAGCTATGCTTAGAGCAGAGGTCCCCAACCTTTTGGGCACCAGGGACCGGTTCCATGGAGAGAGGCTTTTCCATGGACTGGAGGGTGCATGGTATGTGTGCTGCCTGCATCCTGCAGATGGGGCTTTGCTTGTTTATGCGGACCGGTTGCTGGCATGCCAGGGCCCGGTACTGGTCTACGGACTGGGGGTTGGGGACCCTTGGCTTAGAGCATCCATTGGGGTTAATCCTCATGTTGTATCAGGGCAATGCAGTTTTGAAGGACTACAATTGAGTAGTTCCACTATCCAGAAAGTAGATTTATATCTAAACAGAAAAGTCTTATCCTAATGGTAGATGGAAATAAAAAGTGTGTTTGGTTGTGTATATAAAAGCATCCAGTATTAACTTCCAGTATCATTTTGTGGCCTAGGTGCTGTCTCTTGTGCAATTACTCAGTGATCCATTCTATCGAACACTTGAAGGATTCAGAATGCTAATAGAGAAGGAATGGTTATCTTTTGGTCATAAGTTCAGCCAGCGCAGTAATTTAACTCTCAATTGTCAAGGAAGTGGATTTGCACCCATTTTTCTGCAGTTCTTGGATTGTGTGCACCAGGTAAGCCTAGACAAATGAGCACACTTATGTACATAATGAATATTTATTCATTTATAAAAATAATAACCTGCATTTTAATTGTTTATAATCAGAAATTGAGAGCCAGTTTGGTGCAGTGGTTAAGGCATAAGGCTAAGAACTGGGAGATCATGTGTTCTAGTTCCACCTTACGCACAAAACCCAGCTGGGTGACCTTGAGTTAGCTACTTTCTACCAATAGAAGAGAATATTGTGATGTGTTCTTCTTTTATGATGAAAATAATAAAAATTCTTGGGGAAAAAAAAAAAAGAAGAGAATATTTGTAGCTCAGGGTTGAATTGTGGTTCCTAGCACTAGCACTGATGATGTTGCTAGCGCAATGAAATATCTGCAAGAAAACCACCAAACTCAAAGAGCACCAAGGACCCTATAGTCACTTTCTCTCAGTCCTAGGAAGAAGGCAATGGCAAATCACTTCTGAAGAATCTTGCCAAAAAACCTGCAGACATTTGTTCAGATAATCTCAATGAATCTGACATGATTGAACAGAAGAAATTCCATGTGCCTCGGCATATAGTCATACTAGCCACCTGACCATGGAAATGTCTTCAGACAACATTGGCTCCCTCGGCTAAGAAACAGAGAATAGAATAGAATTCTTTATTGGCCATGTGTGATTGGACACACAAGGAATTTGTCTCTGGTGCATAAAACTCTCAGCATACACACAAGCAACAAGTGATAAATCACAATCATAATAATAAAATACAATCATCATAAAGCATAAAATGCAAATCTCAGTGATAGTCATAGGATACTAAAAAATCAATATAAGTCATAATAGGATACTAAATAAAAGCAATCAACATAAATTATGAGATACAAACAACAAAGTTATAGTCATAAAAAGCTAATGAAATAGGTAATAGGAAAGATGAGAAAGATAATGGTAATAGTAATACTAAGTGGTTTGACATCTCAGGGCATAGGACAGTGTTGTGAGAATTAGTCGTTTAGCAGAGTGATAGCACAGTTTGCTGTGCCAAACTAGATAGTTATAGAGGTGGAAATGACAGACTCAATAATCCTTTGCAGAACTGTATCAGCAGCTTCTTGGGCAGTCTGAGCTTTCTGAATTGGCACAGGAAGAACATTCTTTATTGGTTTTTGATGATGTTTTTGGTGTTAGGCATCCATTTTAAGTCCTGAGATATTATAGAACCTAGAAACTTGAAGGTCCCTACTGTTGATACTGTACTGTGTTGTCTAGTATTGCAAGAGGTGGTAGAATAGGACAACTTCTCCTAAAATCTACTATCATTTGTACAGTTTTGAGTGTGTTCAGTTCAAGATTGTTCTGGCTGCACCACAGGGCCAGTTGTTCAACTTCCCATCTGTATGCAGATTCGTTGTCATCTTGAATGAAATCAATCACTGTTGTGCAAACTTCAGTAGTTTAACAAAGGGAACCTTTGAGATGCAGTCATTGGTATAGAAAGAAAAGAGTAATGGAAAGAGCACACAGCCCTGGGGGGCACCTGTGCTAATTGTCAGATATCTGATGTGATTTTGCTTAGCTTCACCTGCTGCTTCCTATCTGTTAGAAAACATATGAGCAACTTACAAGTGTGATCAGGCACAGCTAGCTGAGTCAGTTTAGTGAGAAGAATATCTGGAGTGATGGTATTGAATGCCAAGCTGAAGTTTACAAACAAGACCCTTGCATAGATCCTTGGAGATTCAAGATATTGTAATATGTAGTACAGTGCTGTATTAACAGCATCATCTGCTGATCTATGTGCTTGATATGCAAATTGCAGGGGGTTTAACAGTGGATCTGTGATGGTTTTTAGGTGGGCGCTAGTCTGTCAAAGGTTTTCATAATTATGGATGTCAGAACAACCAGACTGTAGTCGTTCAGCTCCTTGATGAAAGGTTTCTTAGGCACTGGGATGATAGTAGAGCATTTGAAGCAAGAAGGAACATAATATGTCTCTAGTGATTTATTAAAGATGTGGAGCCAATTGATCAGCACAAACATTCAAGCAAGAACAAGTTATTTTGTCTGGGCCTGGTGCTTTTCCAGGGTTCTGTTTGTGAAATAGACATCACATATCTTTTTCTGTGATCACCAGTGGTGGGGGGGCCTAGAGGGATGGAGTCAGTTGTAGAAGACTTGGCTATTGTTGGTGTATCTGAGATGGTAGCGATAGTTGACAGTGGTTTCCTCTCAAAACTATAGTAAAACATATTCAGGTCATCTGCCAGTTGTTGATTGAGTTATTGGAGATGAACACTGCTCCCTAGGGCTGGACACAACTGGACAAGGGAAGCCTTTACCTTTTAATTGAGTTCAGCAGTTATGAAAATGAAGTTATAACCACTATATATTTTTCCAATCTTGTATTCCTTAGCAAGAAGGCACATCCTCATCCAGTTTTGGCTTATAGAACAGTTGGGAGAAGATAATCTGTTTTATCTTCTCCATATCATTTTCAAGCAAATTTAAACCCCTCCCTCTCCATCAAACATTTCAATGAGTCACAAATTTGGGAGTGTAGCTTGATGCAGCAAGTGTAAGTTTTATGAATTCATGTACATCTCATTGGTGTTTTAAAAAAAATCTTTCAAGTCAGCACAAAATAAAATGACTGTTGGATTAGTCAGTTCAATATAATATTTCTAACATGGGCCATGCAGGTGCTTTGTAAGTCAGTTAATTGACACGATAGCAATATCGATCTATTGCAGCTCAGATCTAGAATATGAAAAGGCTATATTGCTTATATGAGGTTATTTTCTGGGAAGATTTTTTTTTTAATCTTATTAACTTCCACAATTATGCTAAAATAAAAGGTTTTTGCTCTGCAAGTCTTATTTCTATAGAACATTATTTTTGTAGAAGAAATATCCTCTGTTTCCTCATGTGCTTGAAGTTGTACAATTATATATTTGGAAATCTAATTTTAGATTTGACTAATTTTAGATATACACTATAAATTCATAAGATTTCTACATTCAAACAATCAAGAGCAATAACGGAAGATTTAACAAATGAATCTCTTCATGTGGTTGAAAAAGAATTGTCCTTATTTCGCCTAGAGAGTACATAGGAAGTTGTGATGCTTAAATTAGAAATGCATCATCTTTTAAATAGCCATTGTTTATGCCAATATCTCCAGGTGTCAAGTGAATTATTAATGTGAATCGCTATTTCACAATAGCAACATCTGGTAGATCATCCATTTGTTTCTAGGAAGACAACTTTGGTGACAAAAAATGTCATATTACAAATGATGCTTCTCTCACTTTCTCCTACAGTTTTAGTGATTGCTAAATCTTGTGGGAATTATACTATTTGCATAAAATTATTATAAAAATAGAACATCTTCAATTGTTCTCCCTTTCATTTTCCAAACATCAAAATAGAGAGGATAGGTTATAACTATTATTTTATCAACTATGTGTATATTTTGTAGGTAAGGTAGGAAGACTGGTACAGTTCAAAGAATGCTACTAAATTTTATTTTTCCCATTATGTTTGCATTTCCAAATACCCAGCCACCACAGAATTTCTGTATATTCTACAGTCTGTTCTAATGGTTAAAAGAAGTATGGAGACTATATTGTTATATCGACAAACAGACCACGATTCTGCTACCTTTTTCTTTGCTCTGTTATTGGGGGAGCACATTAGAATCATTCTGTAGGTAGTATGCTCCCTTTCTTGATCTGATCGGATCTTTGTCAAGCAAACTCTCTTATCAAAGTGAATATAGCATTCTTCTGTGTTTAGCCAGAAGAACAAATTCTATTTCATAGAAAGAGAGAGAGAGAGAGAGAGAGAGAGAGAGAGAGAGAGAGAGAGAGAGAGACAGACAGACCAAATCAAAATTATAAAATCAGAAACTGAATCACAATAAATCTGTGAAACCATGAAATGAAATGAAAATAAAGCAAATATTATTGATAATTTCATCTAACCCGGGCAAAAGCCCTGTGAAAGAATTTAATCTTGACATCTTTATAAAGCAATGCAGGAGTGAGTAACAAAATAGATCTCCATGGGAAAGGCCATAGAAAAGTCTGTATTTGTATCCCGTACCATCTCTAAGTGGGAAACATAAAACACCTCTAACTATTTGAATCTTGCTGTTAAAAATGATACCGAAGAGCTAAAAAAATGAAATAATATAATTTGCTGACTTTGCTTTTGGTAATAAATTAGTTATGACCATTGTTTTATTTGTATGAATTTCAGATTCACAGCCAGTATCCAACAGAGTTTGAATTCAATCAGTATTACTTGAAGTTCTTAGCATTTCATTATGTTTCCAATCGATTTAAAACATTCCTGCTGGACTCAGACTATGAAAGACTGGAACATGGTATGGATCCCAAACTGACCAATGTCTATTTTATTACTTTTAAAGCTTTTCATCAGAAATGGGTTGAAACAATATTACTGACATTTGCTTTGAATTGAATAATCATAGAATAATAGAGTTGGAAGGAACGTTGGAGGTCTTCTAATCCAATTGATAGAGGAAAATGTGTATATTTGTTTGTTTGTTTATTAAATTTAGTGGCTGCCCATTTCACTCACAGAGCAACTCTGAGTGATGTACAGTTTTTTTTAAAAAAAATTAGCATATCTGTCATTAAACCGTTTTTCAAAATTCCATCAGTATTTTCAGAAATTGAAAAAGTCTGGAGATCATTTGTTTGGCAACAGAATATATAGCAGCTGAGTATGGATGCTGCTGGCCTGTTTGGTGTTAGGCCGCAGAACTGCAGCAGAGGCAGCAAGACTTCTTTGTGGGTAGTGGTGGTTTTGACTCCTGGTAATGTAATGGTGCTGACAACAGGAGCCCAGATGCACCTGGCCTGAGTATACTGGAGTGCTAAGACAACAAGCAGTGGGAATGAGTTTATCTATTTATTTAGGATTGAAGTATGCCAAGAGCAGGAGTAGAAGTGTATTTAGGTTCTGACAGGTTAGCTATACTGGGAGTAGCCTGGGGTCTGGTTAGAAAATGGCAGGGTTTGGGGGAGTAATTTGTCTAGGGGAAAGGGCATGCAATAGCATTTATGTGGTGATGGATAGAGAAATATGTGGTGGGAGTAGAGAGTAAGGTTACTATGTTTATACCTATTCCACCTTCTAGCCCCCTGGACATCCCTTGACACCTGAAACAGTAAAAGAGTAAGCAAAGAAGAAGCCCCCTAGGCTTGGTCATCAGATCTTTGGTGACTCTGTGATCAGGCTATTGCCCTTTACAGGCTAGGTGAGACAAGGCTTTTCCCAGCCAAGATCCCATCATGGAACAGAGAGCTGACCTGGCATGTATTACCAAGATCTGATTGGGCAAAGGGGGGAGGAATCTCCTCTTGGAAATGTGCCTACAATGGTTTCAAGTGCAAACTAGCTGTGTCCCCAAAACATGTATATTCTCTCTTTCTTAGTCAAAGGTAATTTTGGAAATTACCATCATCTTGGGAAGGGTAGTTTGAAAACAAAAAAGGTATACGTATACTACATATATAGTTTGCACAGTCAAATCATAACCAACTTATAGTTAATAAAATACTCATTCTTAAAAATAAATATCTTTAGCAATATATTTTTATTTTTGCTCTTGCATTTTTTATAGATGGGTGTCTTAGTCACTTATACCCATGGTGGCGAACCTATGGCACGCGTGCCACAGGTGGCATGCAGAGCCCTCTCTGTGGGCACACGTGCCATCGCCCCAGTCCTAGGCCTTCAGCTGGGTTTTATAAAACTTTTTGCTTTAGCCTCCGCCGCCGTGTGCAAAAAAAAGAAGGTTCAATCAATCAATCAATTTCAACTTCTCGTGGGGAAAAAAAAGATCTCGCAAAATTGAAATTGATTGATTGAACTTTTTAGCCCCACCCAGTCTGCCATTATCACTGCAGCCACCCCCACCCAATGGGCCACCCCCACCCAATGGGCCACGCCCATCCAGCACCCGACAATACATAAGTGGGTTTTGGGTTGCAGTTTGGGCACTCGGTCTCTAAAAGGTTCCCCATCACTGACTTATACAATAAGTTGATAAAATGCAGCTAGTAACACTACTAGATCTAAACATGTTTTCATTCTTTTCACAGATAATTGGTTAAGCATATCTAAGTATACATAGGAGATATTTGTGCATTTCAGTTTGATTGACTAAAAGAGGAAATATGGGTCAGTCTTACTGTAGCTTTCTTCCTTTGCCAACTAACTTTCCAAGTCAATGCATTTGAATCATCAAGTAATTCTTCCTCTATTTTTGTGTATATTGTTTGGAATAAGAAAGACAATTTTATTAAAGTATTTTTGGAAGGACACTCAGCCCATTGATATTCATTAAACAGCCTCCCTCCTTCTCCAATTTCTGCCAATTCTCCTAACAGCTCTATCTTCCATTCAATTAACTCTTCTTTCTTATCCTCAAGTATGTTTTGAGATCTTGACAGGTAAGATATCTTTTCCATTTTCGATATTATCGCTATGTCTTCTAATTTTTCATTTGTCTGAGTCTGTCTGTTAGTTCCTTTCTTTAGGTCCTCCATCTTTGGATCTGCTTCCTCTGATTTTCCTTCTATTTACTGAGTTGGTAGTTCCTTCTTTGTAGTCATTTTCTGAGTTTGTAGATTTAGATTAAAAAAAATATTTTATCTCCTTTTGTGTTATTTTTAGTCTCATCATGAGTTAAGGCAATTGTCTCTTGTATTGATTTTAACATAGAAAGAATTTCTTTCTGAAATTCATCAACATTTTCTTGCTGGTATATCAAGCTGGGGTCTTTGGAGATAGGTGTTAGGGATGGCTTTTTACCATTTGAAGCTAAGTATGAAACATTCATTTTATTTTTGTATGTAGCCTTATAGTCCGATCTATTTAGGGATTTAAAAAGTTTTAATCAATTGTCATTTGAACTCCAAATTATCAGCCGGCCTATCGGTCCATCCTTAAGTCTCCCCTCAGCAAATATAAGTAAAGTTTAAATTTTTCAAATTTTTCTGTCCAATGAAAAACATATACTTTCTGTCCAGAGAGAAAAGAGCAATTAAAAATTGTTCATCAATCAAAGGTTTATAATCCAAATTATTCTATCATCTCAATCAATAATGCATGTTTCTTCTATAGGGAAATAGCTCCATGACACAGCTCTAAAAGTCAGTTAGTATTTATATTTGTAGTCCAGGCAGGCCAGTTTCAAAATAGTTTATTGTCTCTGCCACACAAATAAGCAGCCCAAGAGGTTTTTTCCCCCTTTTCCCAGCTGCAGTCTTCAAAAGTGAAAGTTTCTGAAAACAACAAGAGTCTTATCTGAGTCTGGGCTTCCAGCCAAGTTTCCTTTAGGCATAATAAATTGTAATACTGTAGTTCACCACTAGATGTCGTTGACGCCTTCTTCAAGCTTTTTACATCCAAACTTATATTACAAGCTTTTAAAGTGACTTTTTTTAATAAAAAAAAAACAATCTCAGAAGCACATTTAGTCCCCAAATTTCAAAGTTATATATGTGTATAGATTCCAAATTAATCTTGTAATTTTCTCTGTTTTCCCCCCAAGCAATTAATTCGCCACTTTTCTTTTCCTAAGGGAATGGGGTGGAAATTCCCCTTCCCTCTCTCTTCGGGGAGGAGTCTTTGCTTTGGGCAGTTTTTTACCAGGAAAAAGTCTTATAGTCATAAAGAGAGGATAGGGTCTCACCCAGTTCCATCCACGTTGCTCGAAAGTTGTTGTTTAATGCTTATTTTCTTCAGTTGTCAGCAGCTTCTGACTGGCCACACAAATGTAGCCAGTCCTTCACCCGCCAGTTTGGAGGGCTTACTCAGATCAAACAGAAGGGCTGCCGCCCTCCTGCGATCAACGAGGGTCCTCTCCTCCGTCACCTCTTCGGGGTGAAATCGAACGCGGAAGATGGAGCCCCGTCTTTCTGCGCCCGTCACGCTGTGATGTGAAACCAGAAGTCGACTAATCAATAAATGATTATTGACTTGTATTATGTTTTGATTTTAAAACTTGGGGGCCAATGGAGGCAGGTCTTGAGTCCACTTTGTGGGAAGAGTTTGATCCTGTGACTCCCGATGACATGGACAGGATGCTGGGATGGCTGAACACCACCACATGTCTACTGGACCCATGTCCCTCCTGGCTGGTACTGGCCTCCTGGGAGGTTACACGAGGCTGGCTCCAGGGAATCGTCAACGCTTCTTTGAGTGAGGGGTTCTTGCCGGCCGCCTTGAAAGAGGCGGTGGTGAGGCCCCTCCTCAAGAAACCCTCCCTGGACCCGGCTGTTTTGGCCAACTACCGTCCTGTCTCCAACCTTTGCTTTCTTGCGAAGGTTGTTGAGAGTGTGGTGGCACGACAGCTCCCTCAGCACCTGGAAGAAACTGTCTATCTAGACTCGCGCCAGTCCAGCTTCCGGCCTGGGCACAGCACGGAAACGGCATTGGTCGCGTTGGTTGATGATCTCTGGAGGGCTCGGGATAGAGGCTGTTCCTCTATCCTGGTCCTGCTAGACCTCTCAGCGGCTTTTGATACCATCGACCATGGTATCTTGTTGCACCGGTTAGGGGGGTTGGGGTTGGGGGGCACCATTTTACAGTGGTTCTCCTCCTACCTCTCGGACTGGTTGCAATTTGTGTTGGCAGGGGGGCAGAGGTCAACCTCGAGGCGCCTCACTTGTGGGGTACCACAGGGGTCGGTCCTCTCACCTCTCCTGTTCAACATTTATATGAAGCCACTGGGTGAGATCATCCGTGGTTTCGGGGTGGAGTTTCATCAGTACGCAGATGACACCCAGCTGTACATCTCCACCCGGACCACCCCAACAATGCCGCAGAAGTGATGTCCCGGTGCCTGGAGGCCGTGCGAGTCTGGATGGGGAGGAACAGGCTTCGACTCAACCCGTCCAAGACCGAGTGGCTGTGGTTTCCGGCGTCACATCATAGCCAGTTGGCTCCATCTCTGGCTATTGGGGGTGAGTCATTAGCTCCCACAGAGAGGGCCCGCAACCTGGGCGTCCTCCTGGATGCTCGGCTGTCTTTAGACGATCATGTGACAGCCGTGGCCAGGGGGGCTTTTCATCAGGCTCGCCTGATACGCCAGTTGCGCCCCTTTCTGGATCGGGACGCCCTATGCACGGTCACTCAAGCCCTCATTTCCCGCCTGGACTATTGCAACGCTCTCTACATGGGGCTCCCCTTGAGGTGCACCTGGAGGCTCCAGCTAGTTCAGAATGCGGCCGCGCGGGGGATTTTGGGGGCCTGTAGATACTCCCATGTAACACCTCTCCTGCACGAGCTGCACTGGCTGCCGGTGTGCTTCAAGGTGTTAGTAACAACTTTTAAAGCGCTCCATGACAATAGACCTAGGTATTTGCAAGACCGCCTCCTACCAAATATCTCCCTTCGACCAGTCCGCTCCCACAGAGAGGGCCTCCTTAGGGTGCCGTCGGCCAGTCAATGCCGGCTGGCGACCCCCAGGGGGAGAGCCTTCTCTGTGGCAGCTCCTGCCCTCTGGAATGACCTACCCCCTGACCTACGTACAACTACGGACCTGCGCCTCTTCTGCCGAGCCTTGAAAACCCATCTATTCCATGCGGCTGGCCTGACGTAGTTTTGATTGGGCTTTGTTAGGGGTTTTATATGGGGTATTTTAGAGCAGGCTTTTTATTCAATATTTATTGTGATTTTTATTATTGCCTGTTCACTGCCCTGAGTCCCGTAAGGAAGATAGGGCGGTATATAAATTTAAATAATAAAATAAATAAATAAATAATAAATAACTCTCAAAATGTTTTCAGTTATTTTGCTTTTTTTAAACTTTTCTAGGTATTCCCAGTCTGTATAGCTTCTAGTCAATATTTTTGCCACTAGTTCTCTTTATTTTAGTTTGTATTCCTCTGGACAAAATTCTAGTATCTCTTGATAAGTTAGCCATCTGTATTTGCCTACTATTTGTCACTTACGAAATGCTTCTTGTGCTGAGAGTCACAAATATATTTTCAGGCACATTCTGGATTTGTCTCTATCCCACATTCTCAGTATGGCACATCTAACTTAAATATTGTACCACAGCTATCCATGCCATCCACATCTAAGGTTGTGTCCTTCTAATTACATTACATTTTGTCATTTGAAGGAACATTATTTGAAGATAAAGGAGAAAAACACGGCAAAAAGGGAATTTGCATTTGGGACTGCATTGACAAAATACACAAAAGGAGTCCGGTTTTCTTCAATTATCTCTACGCGCCAGTTGAAACAGAGGTATACAACAGACATGTTCACAGTCTTTCTAGTTCTAATACCTAATAAATACAGTTTGCCATTAGTGTAATTAACATTTATTCAATGGGTTAATTTCCCCAGTTTTCAGAATGATTACCATGCTGTCTAGACAGTAGATTTTCAGATGCAGGGATCTAATGACTATATCCAATGAGTCTGGTAGTGTGCATTTTTATGAGACTTATTGTTATTTTAAGGATGTGGTGATTTGGCAGATATTGGGAATTTTGTTGATATGTAATTGCTGTGATAGTCTTATGACTGGACCAACATTATATTATAAAAGCAAATACTTTTATTTTTAAGGGTAAGTCCAAGTGTTGCAAAGAACCCTGGGTTCAGAAAGACAGCTTGTTAATTGTACATCCATGGCCAAACAGGACTGGCTAGTTTGGTTTGGGGAAAACTAGATATGAATTTTCTTCCCTTCAAGGTTTTTATTTCTTTTAGTCACTGGCTATGAAGAAGATCTATTTGTCTCTAATTTTTAGTTCAAAGAATATGCCCAAATACTGTTTAAATGTCTGTGTAATAGTTATATATTATACATGACTGTCATTTACTGACAACATATAAAACTAGCTGAGCATTTAACAGGGCTACCTGGGATACACAGTTTTAGGTGGTGGTGCCTATTCTAATTTAAAGGTCTTGATGCTAATGCTATTAGGATGGGTGTTGCTGAATGTTAGCATACTTTGAAATGAAGGCAGTGATTGTCCCACATTTTTATGTTACTTGATTGCAAGGGACCAAAATATTTTCAAAGCTAGATTTTTTTTGTATTTTGTATTTTAATAACATTTCTGAATTTATAAGTTTCATAATTATTTTAATATGGAACTCACACCATGTCATATTGTTGCATCATTTCACAGGAATACATTGAGCAAGGGCTCCTGCCAATTCATGAAGAACTTCATATGTTCTGGCTATACAGATTTTAAAGGAGAGGAAAATAGGGGGTGTTCCCAGGGTTAGAATTGAATTGAGAAACAATTTACCTACTTAACCATAGAAGGAAACTGAAAAAAGAATTGAATTGCTTCCTACTATTAAAATGGATTAAATGTTTATCTGCATTAAGTTGAGGAAAATGGTTTGAGCCAAGGGCATATTGTTCGGGAAGATGGGTCACATCACATTTATCATTTACAAGGGTTCTTTTTTATGCAGGTATTAAAACCAAATGTCAGCCTTTCCTGCCTTAAGAAATGGGATTACTACACAGAAGAGACTTTAGCCACAGGCCCAACCTATGACTGGACTATGATAAGTGCAAAGTGTAGTACCTTGGATGAAACAGATCAGATGGATATGTCATCTTCCCACAATAAGAGAAAAATTGTCTGGCCATGCTATGATAACCTTACTAAAGTGCAACCTGATGCCATCACCAACTTATTTAGTGTAAGTATAAGCGCTTAACATATTCATGTAGCTTTATTTTTTAAAAAAATATATTTTTAGTTTTCAGTGTTTTTAATAAAAACAAAAGGGCAAGATAAGAAAATGTAGGAAGGGAGAGAGCCAGTTTTTAAAGTAATTTTAAAACTTTCACAAGGAAATGCTGCATTTACTTTATTGACCATTACCTAAATCTCATCATATACTATACATACATATATTCTCTGACTATATATCTGCATCAGTACAGATACCGTAATTGATGAAGTCTTGTTTATATTGCCTACCCCCTTATTCAGTTTTTAAGCTACTGACTCCATTAAACACTAGATTGCACCCAAAAGGAATGCCATTTTTTCTGAATTACTGCTGACTAAATCTGTTTTCTGTATAGATTTTCTAGTAAAATGTGCCATATTATTATGCCATAATGAAACTTGTCATTTTTTCCCAGCATAACTAATATTTAGTATGTGCATTGTTCAAGAACTTGCTGGAACATCTTTTGATTAATTGTGAAGTACTTATTCTGGTATTTTGGAGCTTTTCTTGGCATCCACAGAAGCTTTTGTTAAAATGGTGAAAGCAGCCCCATCACTTTTGGCATTCATGTGACATGACAAATCATACACAAAACAGGCTAGACTTAAACAGAGCAATGCTACTTTCATAGCATAAAGGCTTTGGGAAATATATTCAGATATTGTGATCTGTCTGTATCTACAGAGAACAGAATTATGCAGTCAGTAGCTTTTCCCCATAACACTCTTTGGAAAGAAAAGTTGGACTTCAAGAAGCAGAATAAAAAAAATCTATTAGTGTTGGAGAAGTCTCTTGAGAAACCTATGAATAGCTAAGAAAGCAAACAAATCATGAATGACCAGGCTCAAATTATCCTATTTTAGATTCATTATGAAATGATCTACCTCTCTTGAGAATGTGTCATGCTGGGAAAGGTGGAATAAAAGATGACCAGCAGTAAGGTAGATAGACTTAATTATAGCAGTGATAAAAGCACCTTTAGAAACTTTGAAAAGCAGGTTGAACACAGATAATCCTGGAAAAAATATTTGGGAGCTGCTAAACATTAAACTGACTTGATAACTCCTTAAAATCCTAAAATTAATCAATTATTTGTAGCAAATATAATAACAACACAGCTGGTCACATTTAGGACTCCTTAAGGATTAACTGAAGACTTGGAGCTTTGTCTTTATATCAGAGACATAGGCTATAAAAGTATGATATGAAAAACACTGTTCTGATTCTTAAATAATTTGGGCTATCAGATCAAAGTGCCAAAATCTAGAGGACCAATAAATGGCAGAAAACAATTAGGGCAAGCTAGTAGTTATAGTACAGTGGAATTTTGTAGTCCTGGTCTAGTAGATCTATAATAATCTATAATAATCTAATGATGTTTGTAAGTGAAGAGTACTGTGTGGTATCTGTAACAAATCCTGGGAGATTGAAGAATGCTGATATTGCTGAAGAATGATTGATAATGCTGATGCTGAAGCATTGAGGCACTTGGGAAAAAATTGTTTCTGTCTTATTTTCATTTTCATTTGATTTCATTTATAGCTTATGCATAGGAAATAGCTCTAATAAGAGACAGTAAGGGAATTCAAATTCCCATTTTAAAAGTAGAAATAGATTATAGTTTGGCATTCACATTAAATAAGTCCATCTCATTTCCTTTTTTATTATAATTTAGTACTGTTTGTTTCAAAAAAAAGTGATACATGTTGATCTTGGCAATTTAAAATCTTGTGGTCACAGCATTGGACTTGAACTGTGTAAGTAAGTTTTAAAACACTTATCATCATTTTCAACTGTAGCAAGAGGTTGTAGCTCATGTGTTTGAAGGAACAACAGAACAATTTAACCTTATGGAAAACAAGAAAAAAAAACATTTCAAATGTTTTTAGGAAATTGAAAGACTGGAGAACAAATTAAACCACAGCCCAGAAAGATGGCAGTCACTGTGGGAAAGAGTTAAAGTAAATGTGAAAGAAGATTCAGGGAAAGACAATGTAAGTATTTTGACAAGAATCTTCAATCTTTCAGCAAAGGCTAAAAATAGTTGTCTCAAAATTCCACGTATATGTAGCACTGTTAAATTATTGAATATGGCAGTGCATGCATTTTAAATTCTTAACATACTTATAGTACATCTCTGTCAGTGGATTCACATTTCATGCTGAAATGGGATAATGATTTATTACTGCCAGATAATGCACCCAACCATAGTACTAAATTCCACTTCCCAACACTGTCCATCTTAATTATTTAAAAATGTTTTAGCTTTCTAAAAATTAAATCATATATATAGTTAGTGGTTGATAAATCCAGGTTAAACCATGAAACATGGTCTTGACCTAGACTTAAAAAAATGTCAGTGACTTCAATGGCTCCTTTCAATACAAGGACTTGGCACACTATGAGCACCCTTGGAGTAACATAGAGTAATACAAGGATGTTTGCAGTGAGAAAGGATAAGTAGCACTGCTTGAAGAATATGGAGGGCTGCAACAAAGAGAAACACGGAAGAAAAATTCATGAACAACTTTTCCACTTGCATAAGTCTGATTCCAAAGCATTGACTAAGAATTATACTATAAATGCAAAGGAAGCCAATATAAATTATTATTCTTGCATTTCAATCACCATCCCTATGCAGATCATCTTAATCTTGACCTTTAATTTATCCAGTTCCCTAGGTATGGGATAAATAACTTTCATACAGGCTAGCCATGCTCACTCAATTATACTACCATTCATTTTTTTCTTGAACATTAATATTTATAGTGCTTATTTCAATTCCAATTTTGATGTATCATTAAATATAAATCTCCAAAGTACTCCTTCCATTTTCCCTTACTTCAGTTTCATCTCAAATAACTTCACCTCTTTTTGTTTAAAATCCATTCATTTACAGGAAGTTCCTTGTTTAGCCCTCTTCACCTACTTCCAAAACAAAGTGGGCTTTTTTCCCATCAAAACATTTTCCATCCTTCTTTTAATTTTAACTTTTTCTACCAAATTCCTTGCAGCTATGATTTTCCCCACTACATGTGCAGTAATCTTTTATTTTTGCTGTAATTGTTCTCTTTACTTGCTCTTTTCCTCATTCACTTCATGTCATTGTTCTTCCCAGCATTCTTTTTCATGCTGCCATTAGCATAATTCCAAATTTCTTGGTTTTTTTGTAACCTAATTCTTTTCATTCTATTTCAAGCATTTTTTCCAGGTTCCACTCTCAACATACTGTAACCGAATAATGGTCTGTCCCACATTACATCTCTCATGCATCCTTCACTAAATCTTTTATTTGTTCATCTTAAACAATCAAATCAGTCATGCTTTTTGATGAATTCCCTTTCGATGTGTAAGCATTAATTTCTGCTTAAATCAGAAAACAAAGAGATCTTTATGTAAGCAGATATGTAAAATGCCATGCACTCACTCAAAATGTTGCACATGTTTTCCTAAAGCTCATCCGTGGTTTTTCCATTAGCATCATTCACTGGAGCACAACATGCATCTATTACCAGCATGTGACTTCCTACTTTCATATGCACTCCCAATAGCTTAAGTAAATCACAAATTCATACTTTCTGACATAAATGTTAACCATTTCATTCATAATTAGACCTACATCTCTACTCTCCAGCATGTATTCATTGATTATCTTCTTTAGTTCTATTGGGTCCTTTCTTTTTTAGTTAGTGTCTTGATAGAGACACTGTATATAGCACAGATATTGTGATATTTTAGCATGTGAATGAATCACATTGCAACATACTAGCTAATCAAAGCTACAGTAATTGCTAGAAATGAGAAATTTATGACCAAAAATGCATTAGCCACAAACACTGAATAAGTTCTAAACTATTTTTATAGATCCTTTCAAGTATCTTTTTTATTAGAAACTTGATGTGCCAGCTGTAGTGTCATGTGCCAGCTGTTGCAAGAAATAGAGTATAGCAATTCATTTCTGAAGTGTTTAATTTAGCCCCTGGATTTCTGTCACAAGGTTAGATTTAAGCAGTCACTGAAAAAGAGGTAAAGTATCTCTGTCTGGATCTTTGGCTAACCCACCATGTTTTTTTCAACCCCACACCATGTCACATTACCTTTTAAAGCATCAGAGACATCCTTCTGGCTCTTCGGCAATGTCTGTCAACCTGCACTCTTGTCAGAAGAGGTCTATATTGCATCTACCAGACAGTGGCTTGGGTGAAGAACGGAACAGCAACATTTCATCTTCCAATGGTGTAGAAAGGAGAGTAACAACACTGTACAATCAGTTCACATCAAAACACGATGAAAATAGGTAATCTGGGCTATCAGACTATGCTACAAGTCTGGCTTCCTTAAAACATTTTCAAAAGTGTTATATTTGCTTTATTTTCATTCTGTTTCAAATGACTCACAAAACATCCTTTATTAAAATTACTTCTTTTCCACTTGCAGCTTAATCTAGTTATTTATAAGACAAATTTATTACAGAGGAAAATAGTGCTCTCCAGATGGATTGGCTTTTGGCTGTGTTGGCTAGGAATTCTGAGGGTACATAAAGTCAGGTTAATTAACAGAAGAAAGTGTCACAGTACACCACAAATATTCACAGATATATTTTTAAAAAATGTGATGTGATAATCAAACGAAGGGCTCTCAAAATTTAAATGAACCTTAAGTGTTAAATCAATCTTAATCATATTCACACTCAGAAGAATCTGAAATCTTTGGTCTATAGTTTATTTGTCTGAAATTAAGGGTAAATTCATATTTATCAGTTAAGAAAACTTTCTGAGAATTATTATACCAAAATATAATAATATCACATTTTACCAACTTTACCAACTCCTACTAGCTCCAGCCTATGTCAGCCTGTGCCTGTGACTCATGCACTCACCAAACCTCCATATTGGAGGAGGAATTTTAAAAAAAACAAATAATATCACCCAATATCAAAACACTTTACACATCCTGCTCAGGAGTCTTGAAATAGTTCAAGCTGCTAATGTTTCAAGCTGTTAACATTTTGCACCCCATTAGAATAAATGAGTTACAGTAAATTAAAACCTACAGCTGGATGTTGAGGTAATGGATATTACTTTGGTAATGAATTAATAGGAAATTTCACTAGTGCATATTGTTCTTTGCTTTAAGTTCTGTACTATGAATTTAACTGAATTAATAAACATCATTAATATGTGGATATTTTTATGATTTCCATTGCTTAAAATAAGAAATAACATTTCTTTTTCTTCTAGATCTTTTGAAGGTACCCTTTACAAAAGAGGAGCTTTGCTAAAAGGTTGGAAACCACGCTGGTTTGTGTTAGATGTTACAAAACACCAGGTAAAGTGTAATAATGATCTGTAATATATGTGTACCATCTGCTTTCAGGAGAGCAGGTTGAACCCCAGAAGTATCCCTCACCCACCAATCTTCATCTGAAATGTTGTTTCTTTTCTTTGTTTATTTAAATGTACATTATTCTTTCATTATATTTTTGCATCATTTTCTTACCATCAGACTTCCAAGACCATGTTGAGCTTTAAATCAAACTTGCTTTTATATATTTCAGATTATTAAGTAGGTACTATGGATTGTGCATGCTTCAAAAATTACTGTGAGAAAGTGCCTCAAATTTCACTTGAGCACAGTAATTGTATGCTATTTTTTTCCCTCAGACTATCATGTGAAAAAGGTGCTACGTTCTTGCAAACTTAATCATAAAACTTTTACATTAATAATGAAATACTATTTTTGAATGCTAATTTTTAATCAAACAATGTTAAGAAATTATTTTTTACAATGTTGCTTATTTTTAAAATATTAATAAAGATTACATTATACATTTTCTCAAGCGCATCCCAATTATCCAACGTATTTGGATTTTTTTCTTTACTATCCTTAAGGATTTGAAATAATTATGAAATGATTTAGAATTTTCAGTATTTTGATTAAGGTATTTTATTAATTAAGTTTCAAGAGTTATAAACCATTTAACCCTTCCAAAATGGTTCAGAAGCTGTAATCCTGGACATCCCCTATACATCAGCATGCCTTTTATAATTGCCTTCTTCCCCTTCTCTATATTTGCTATGTAATCACTTTTATGCAGAGGTGAATTTTAGGAAATTAAAAACTGTCCATGACAATCGTAGCTACTCGATATACAGTTATTCACATTTTCAGTATAACAATGTCAAACTTTTCATATTACTATACTGGTTGCTTTTTTAACGTTTACTGTTTCTTTTCCTTTTTATCCTAGCTAAGATATTATGATTCCATGGAAGATGCTTGTTGTAAGGGCCATATTGAGCTTGCAGAAGTAGAAAGTGTAATCCCTGCTTCACCAACTATTGGTGCTCCAAAACATGCTAATGAAAAAGCTTTCTTTGATGTAAGTAGGTTGGCTCCAGACTACCATCTGCTTTAAATTAATAACAACAATTTGTACTCATAATCTGTGCTCGTACTAATCTGTGCAGAGATACAACTCCCTAATTTTTCTCAGCCAGATTTAACTACAGTGGACATTTGCAAGAATTTTTCTGGGAGTGGGGGTGATCTGCAGTATAGGATGTGACTGTAATTTGCACATAGAAAGTACACCAGTGTAACATATCTCTCCATTGCCCTGATATATCTGATGCTATATATATATTAAGTAACACCCCCTTTAATGTCATTTGATTTGTCAAAGGAAGGTTCCCACATTCTAGAATGGGAGTTTTGGAAGCTGTCTTACATCAAATCACGTATTTGTCCATCTGGTTCACTAATGTTTATGTGGACTGGCAGCAGTTTTGCAGAGTTTCAGATTGACGTCTCTCAGCCTTCCCAGAGTGACTACAGATTTAACCTGGGATTGATCCAAGCAAAGCAGATGCTATGCCACAAAGTTCAGCCTGGCTCTTAATTCACTAGACCAGTGTTTCTCAACTTTGGCAACTTTAAGATGTGTTGGCTTCAACTCCCAGAATTCCCCAGCCAGCATGCATTAGACACTGGCAATAGAATCTGTGCAGAATGTTTCTTAAATAAGGACATGGAGAAATAGATACATTTAGCCAGTACTCCATTTCTACCAATAGAAGAGAATATACTCAGGATTGAATTGCAGGGTCCTTGATGCTCTCTGTGGTTGTTTTCATGAAGACATCCCATTACCTGGCTAGGTAACATCTTCAGTGCTAGAAAGGAGTGGAGTTTACTCTCTGTTTATATATAGCATTTGTTTTGTCTTCGACACACCCAAAGATGGTGAGGGTGTTGTTTTCCCCTTGGTAGTTCCTTGATTAAGCTGTTGTTGACTGCTTGATTGATTGTTTGGTTTTGCTCCTGGTATTAATCCCTGCTTATCTAGGTGTGGGTTGCTGGCAAGGAATTTGATTCTTTTCTTTTTTAGCTTTTTATTGTCTCTTGGTGTGTAAATGTGGTTCATCTATGTGCCTGTTGGTGGATGATTTGTCTGAATGCCAAGCTTCAAGTAATTCCCTAGTATTTTTGGATGTAGTGTGATCTAGGATGTTCAAGGTTTTCCATTTTAAACTATGCTAAAGTCTGTTCATGTGTGGTGAAATTTTATCATGTCTTCTGATTCCTAGTTGGTGTTTATGGATGCACTTTGCTAGTCTTCTGCCTGTCTTTTCTTCTTTCTTTTTTGGTTTACTTAAAATATTTTGGAGGGCTTCATTTGGCTATTATGTTGATACCGTGTGGCTATAAATAGTCCATTAGTTATTTCAGAGACGTTTTTGATGCAAAAACATCTTTTTCATATCTTGTGTTATGAGCTGCTATATGTAAAACAGAGAGCAAATTCCACTCCCTTCTAGCAATGAAGATATTACCCAGTTAGGCAACGAAACATCTGCACAAAAACAACCAAGCGACAAAGACTCCACACTCCCTTTTCTTTCATAACTTATGATCAGCCATTTTTAGGGGTCACAGGATTGCCAAAATAGATGGGCCAAAATTTATGAAATGGATCTACTACTATTTTTTTCAATGGGTAACCCTGGGATCTAGATATTACCTAGCTGCTTAACAACCTGCAGAAAACTGTGCAAAATAATGCTTGATGTTGGATGGACTAGATGAAGAAGAAAAAAAAATGTTTAACACATATTAGACATAGGAGCTCTTGAGCAGTCAAAAGGCAAATAAAAGGATTGCTACTTTAGTATTAAGCAGCTCTTAAGGAAAAGATGGGATGGAAACAATATATTGGAAATCAATATATAATTTCTCTTCCTGACTTTCTTCAGTTGTGAAATTCCATTTAATATAGTTGGTAGCTCATCCTGAGGTTGTATGATCTAGGTAACACATATTAGACTGTATTATCTATCAAACAGATAGATAGGAAAGGAGAGCAATTTCCAAGGAATCAAATTTGCAAGACCGCAAATTTGCAAGACCGCCTCCTACCAAACACCTCCCTTCGACCAGTCCGCTCCCACAGAGAGGGCCTTCTTAGAGTGCCGTCGGCCAGACAATGCCGGCTGGCGACCCCCAGGGGGAGAGCCTTCTCTGTGGCAGCTCCTTCCCTCTGGAATGACCTACCCCCCGACCTACGTACAGTTGCGGACCTGCGCCTTTTTCGCCGAGCCCTGAAGGCCCATCTATTCCGTGCGGCCGGCCTGGCGTAGTTTGGATTATGTTTCAGTGGGGGTTTTTGTATGGGTGTGTTTTTAGAACAGGCCTATTATTTAATTCAATTTGAAAACAGAAACTATTTATTTATTCGTGGTTTTTAGTATCGCCTGTTCACCGCCCTGAGTCCCGCAAGGGAGATAGGGCGGTATATAAATTTAATAAATAAATAAATAAATAAATTGCCTCAGCATTTAAAACTGCTTGAAGAGAGAATTCTCTCTTTGCAGCCGCTGAGTCTATTGTTCTGTACACTCTATTTCCTGAGAAAAGTAGGGGAAAATGTCTGATTCATCGAATGAACTACAGATAACTTTTTTCTTACAACCATAATTGAAATTATGGTTGTAAGTCATGCTGATAGTTAAGCAGGTCCCCATATGACCACACCCAATTTTATGACCTTTTTTGCAGTGTCAATAAGTAAATCCAGTGTTCACAATGTATATTTTTGCCAGAAACTGGAATTAAATGCTGATTTCTGATTTAAAAAGTTGTAAATTGAGATCATCTGATTACAGGGCACTGCAAACTGCTATAAATGTGGAGGGAGCCCTCAGAACCTCAAAATTGGGACATAAGTAGCCCTTGGGAGGCCATTGTAACTTTCAGTGGTCACTAAAAAACCGGTCATAAGTTGAGGACTACTTGTATAGTAGAAAATCTTGATTTGCTTGCAGCTTCTCATTGCAAACTTCCCATGCATTTATAGACATGATTCTCTTTTCCAAATGGTAGATTTTTGAAGTTCATGAGAACAGCAGAGAGCAATGTTGCTGCTGCAAAGACTGTAATGGCAATAGGATTCATGAAGTATGGAAATCAAGTAATTAATACTGCTTTTATCTTTTAATTTTAATTGTGCAGCTAAAGACAAGTAAACGAGTGTATAATTTTTGTGCGCAAGATGCACAGAGTGCCTACCAGTGGATGGACCGGATACAAAGCTGCATTTCCGATGCATAATAAGGAATTTATTTTTGCTATCATCATCATCGTCATTTAAAAAGTATCTGTTGATATGCCTGAGTAACTCTGTTTCCAAGAAGAATTGTTTATTGCAGTTCAAACAGCCTTATATTTCAGCCACAGTGCTCAGAACATCATATTTCTTTTAGTTGATAATTTATATAATGTCTCGTTCTCCATTTGGAAGATACTAACTAACCTCATTGCCCAGAAAACCTCATCTTCAATACAATTCCAGGCTAAGTGATCCCAGAGGGATAACTTTTTTCTAGACACAGGAATGAATAATCCAGCAGAACACTTAATTTTTGGAAAATAATCCTGTATTTATCTTTAATCTTATTAGCTTCCTATTTTAGAAAAAGGGATTCGTATTCAGACCAGCAGTGTTTTCTGAGAAAGAGGTTATTTAAACCTTTAAACCCTGGAGTCCAATAAAAAGACACACTCAAGGCACCATAAATTAAAAGAAGCAGTTTCTTTTCTGTCTCTTGCTTTCTGAACATTCTGTCTTGAGAACTATCTTACCATTTTTCTACTAGTTAATTCATCTTTGTAGATGAATGGAAACCAAGATCAGGCCTCAGGAAGAGGAAATGCTAACAAATACAAAAGTTGTATATTAACTTATGTGCTGTTCTGTTCATTGTAAAAAGAAAAAAAAATGCACTAAACAAAGCAAACACTTGCACTGAAATCTTTGAAAACAGGCATTTTGAAGGAGAGAAGTAAATTATTTATAGCAAAATGCTAGCAAGATAACAACAATTTAAGATAATGATATGTACATAATTTGGCTTGATGTGATGTAATTTGATACTTTAAATGTTTTTGCACATAAATTGGAAGAATGTTTTTAGATTTTTTAACATTTGCCAGTGTGTTTGTTCATCTTAAAAATCTCTGACAATTTTTTTACAAACCAAAATAAAAGCTTTTCTTGATAGTGACTTTTGAGTGTAACAGCCCTAGAAAGAAAATATGTTTTCTTTAAAAACTAATTCATTAAAATTAATAGCTCAATGTTTGTTTATACTAGCCAGTATTTTCTAGGGTTTAGTGACGTCACTTGTAAGTTAATGGCTGAGTTCACATGTAATGCTAAGTCAAAGTTTAATGGAATAAGGGTATCTTACTTGGACTGATGAATGAATCTCTTCCTTTGGTGTTTTGGAAGCTGTCATATTAAATTCCATTCTAAGAGCTGAATCTGGACAGTGATTAATCTTCACTAAAGTTGTCTATAACAAGCCATTGGTTTTTGAAATAGCTTATTTTTTTACTAACCAGAGTTAAAATTAACCACAGTTTATTATTATGAACCTTAAATTATGATTTATCAAAACTAAATCAAGAACTGTTAGTGTGCTTCTCTTACATATGTTAGAGAACGCAAAGAAAAGGGGAGCCCAAAGGTCCAAAGCTCTCAGTAGTTCCTCCTGATATTAAACCACGGTTTAGCATTATGTGCAAATCAAGCCAGTATTGACTAAAACTGATTTCACTTGTAGGATTTCAGTTTCTGGAATTGTTTACCTTTTTTAAAAAAACCACTATTTTCCCTATTTTTCTAATGAATAGTGAATACAGATTTCACACTACACAAAATAGGAAATATTTCTTTTTTAAATATATTTGGATTTCCAAACTTAAAGAAATGAAGGATTTTTCTAGCATTTTCAGCTGATAAATTACCACTTGTGAAAAAAATGGTGTTTGCACATTCATGTACTTTTCTTTGTATATGAAGTACTTTTCTATGTGCTTTGTAAAAAATAATGATTGTGTTTGTTTTAAAGTTGTTAAAAAATATACACTACTCATACAGTTATAACTAGGAATTTTAATTATTTTATATATGTTCCATAACTAGCATTTGTTAACTACCTTGTAATAAAGATACTTCATATGACAACATTCCTTCTTTATCCAGTGGAATAGTTAATACCATATCTTTAATTGTATAATTTAGATCCCAAGTTATCCTGTAATAAAATTCATATTTTTGTACAGAAAATGCCATTTTGCATGTGAAAAACTGTTCTTTGCTCTATTTTTTCATTGTTAAATTCAAAGCATTCCATGAATATCACAAACTGGCCATATCAGTTAGCTGCCTTGAAAAGTTAAGCTATGTATTTCATTCTGTGTTGACTGAATAAATAAAAATTGTATGAAACATAAATATGGCTAAAAGATACAAATAATATAATAGCAACTGATTATTCAGGTGTTATTGGAAATGTCGTTGGAAAGCTCATACATCTGACTGCAACTTGTCCTTGGGAAGAAAAATAACCAATTTTTTTCATGGGGTACAGGGTGGATTTGATTTAAATCAACTCGATTTAAATCATAATTTTTAAAGAGCAACTGTCACCTCTGTCCTGCAGCGGCTCCTCCTCTGAACCGCTGTTGACTCACCGACAGTCCCATTCACTTTAATGGGACAGCTGCACTCTTTATTGCATTGCTTGAATTTTGCACACATAACTACTTTACCCATAGGTAGAGGAACTTTATTAAAATATTCCCAAACTGGGTCTTTGTTACGGCCTGCTGCCATTTTGTTCTTCAAGGGAGGAATAAAGCACTTCAAGCGATGTGCAGAAAGATCGCAAGGGTTATAAGCTGCTTAGAAGGTTTCACTTTCATTTTTACTGCTTGCCCTTCCTCCTCACACTCAGAGCCTGGTACAGATGCATTTCTCTTCAAACATTGATACAGTTTGTAGTGTACATAGATTTGCAAAACAATGGGATAAAGGAATATTCCTGAACTTTGTTTTATGATTTATCTCATGGTTACTGTGAAATTGTGTGAATGCATCAATGCAGTGCATGTTATCTCAGCTTGCAGAACTTGGATTCATTGAATGAGTTTACCAAAAATGTAAATATTGCAGAATATACAGCCTCATGCTACATAACTAAGCTCCATTTCATGCTGAATAAACTAAATTATTAATGTATCTTACAGAAAACTATCTTTTGATAGATTTTTACTCCAATAGCATTTTATTAAAATAAATTTGACAAAAATAAAAAAAAATCCGATTTAAATAAAAAAAATCTGATTTTTTTAAAAAAAATTATTATTATCCATCTGATGGGGCATAACTTGTAAAGGACATAGATTCCTTTTTGCTATTTAGTGTGTGTAAATTAAATTGTATATTAAATTGAAATATCAGCAAACTTTTTATAGTAAGAGCATAGCTCTTATTATAAAACTACTAACTTGTATAATTCACAATTTCTAGCCAGATGAGTGCACAATTTACTGGTTTTCTCTTAATAAGTTGCTGTCTTACGGCAACGGCAGTAAGCGTGTTGTGATTGCCTTCCTTATGTTATATATGACCATGCTAGCCAGTTTGGGGAAGCAATTTTAGATATATATATTTTGAAAGTTATTAAGTTCCAACCATCTCTTTTTTCTTTGTTTTGGTATTTTTGCACAACAGTATTGCTATTTTTAGCAATAGCACTTAGACTTATATACCATTTTGCAGTGCTTTACAGCCCTCTCTAAGCGGTTTACAGTGTCAGAATATTAAACCCAACAATCTGGGTCCTTATTTTACTGAACTCGGAAGGATGGAAGGCTGAGTCAACCTTGAGCCGGTCAAAATTTTGCTTCTGGCAGTGGGCAGAGTTAGTGTGCAATACTGCATTCTAACCACTGCACTATCACGGCCCAACAATTACTTTAAAACCAAAGGCCTCCATACATGATTATTTCCTTAATATCTGTTTCATCTGGTCATGAATTGCCTTGCCGGTGGAAAGAAATGTAGACAAACTCAGCTCACATCCAGGCAGAGGTGAAAAGAGGACAAAACACAGCCTGCCAGGTAGGGGTGGGCAGTCCTTCCTTACCAGCAGCCATCATATCTGGTGCACCTAATGAATTTCAGAAGGGCGAGCATCCGAAGTCCCAAATAAAGAAACCGGTTACAGCTGATGCTAAAAGCAAGGTCAGAAACCAAGCTGAACTATTACCAGCAGCTAAAACCGGTGAAGGCAAGAAGTCATTTTGGGTTATATGCAATTTTTTGTGAAGGTTCTGTCTGCTTAATATTTTTAAGTAAATGTTGCTTTGTTATGGGGACTGGGGGGACTCTTTCATTTTGTGAAAAAGTCCCATGAAGCATAATAAGTATAATTTGGTCTATTTACATTCATAATAGCAGTGCTATGTAGTACAAGTACTACAAAAAGTAAAAGTACTATTGTACTTTTCTTAACCTTCAAAAGTAGTATGAATAGTACTACATTTAAAGTAGTGCTAATAGTACTGTTAGAAGTAAAAGTACTATTAGCACTATTTTAAATGTACTATTCCTACTACTTTTGAAGGTTAAGAAATATTGGAACTTCTCAGCAAAAATAGCAGATGTTACATATTATGAAAAGAAGCAAAGGAATCTGATGAATAGATGGCACATTTAAACATTTACAAGGAGCTAGAAGTCTCAGTTAAAGCTGCTGATTCCTGAAGCACGTAGTGGTACTTTGGAACATTGCTGGAAATACGATTACTAATATCTTTAAAAGCACGCAGCTAAACAAGGCAGAGAAAAAATTTTTGGAGTTGTAAAAGTTTGCAGGATGTGTATCGAAAGGGGAAAAAAAGACATTTGAGAGATATAAACTCTATAAAAATATTTCTTTTAAGAATTTTTTTAAAGAATTCCTTGCAGATTCAATTTTTGGCAGAATACCATATTTCAAATAGCAATAAGATTTCCAAAAAGTAAAAAACAAAATTGTAGAACATGTTTATCTGATGCCAAAGGAGTTGCAAAAGTAATTATTAAGGATTAATTAAAATGGCAATTTCTGTTTTCAGTTTTTACTTTTATAAAGTAGAGTTCATACCCAGAATGAAAACAAGTCAAAGCTGCATCTCATAAAATAGAACATAAAAGAACAAATGCAAGCAAGAAGGCAACTGGAAATCAGTATGTGGATATTTCTGACTATATGGATAAAATATCAAATATCGAAAATATCCTATCATCTTTAAAAAGAAAGGTAAATGAAAAAACAGATATATGTGCTGATTTCAAAAAGGTGACAGAATCTACAAAAGATAATTGATAGGAGCAAGCTGAAAAACCAAAACAGTGTGTTAGTCATCATAGAAATAAATAGAAACGTAGCACTGTAGTTTATATCCAATAGAATGTAATAAATATGTATAATTACAGCAGTTCCCATTGGCCACAAAACAAAATATAGTTAGTGAGGGCTGATACAAACTATTTTTTGGTTGTGGATCTTCTGAATCTGGCAGAGTCTGCTACATGAACAACATTCAACTGTCTATTTTTAATACTTCATTTGGAATAGATTTTCTTAGACCTTCGTTTGAACTAAAATCAACCTCAACTTTCTATATTGAACCATATATAGTATAATAAATACTGATAATGGTATGAGAGATTATATTAAAGGTAATACAAGTTATACAGGGCAATTGAATTGAATTTTGACAGACAAGTTCAAGATTTAAATCACCTTTGAAGGACGGAAGCCTCAAATTTATTCTGTCAGAAATCTAAATCTTCCTAACTGGAGCCTGACCTCTGTCCCATAGGAGTATGACTTGGTTGATCTCACTGCCACTATCTTATAGAGGTGCCTCACCTACTGTGTTTCTCGGACCCGGTCTTATATATTTTTTTGCCTGCAAAAGAGGCATTAGGTCTTATTTTCGGGGGATGTCTTATTTTTTCCACTGTCTACCCTCGCAGCTGTGGCACCAATAGCCCCGTCCAGCAGGAGCCCACGTGGTCGCTGCCGGCCCACTTCTGCAGCCGCTTGCCGCCACTCATGCAAGTCACCCCAGGCGAGGCAGGTGTTGGGGTATGGGAGACCTGGCTGCGGGAGCCCTGAGGTAAATGGGTGTGGGGTGCGTGGGGCAGTTCCAGCCCCCCCTCCTGCCTTGTTCACCTCATGGCGGCACTGCAAACTAGATGGAATGGGCGGGTAGCCAGTTGCGCAGGCTCTTAACTTGGGCTTATTTTGGGGGTAGGATTTATATTAGGCACACATGTAAAAATCAAGCTAGGCTTACTTTTGGGATATGTGTTATTTTCCGGGAAACATGATAGCAACCTCCTCCTAGGCCCAATGTGTAAGAGTAGGAGGGTTTTCACACCCAGCTGCTGTTTTGATGACTAAAAAGGTAAAATGGAATAAATGTTACAGTGCCATCTTCTGGCCATATAATCTCAAGGTTTATGATGAAAACTATTGGCTCTTTTTCTACCTTAAGAGGTAAACCAATCTCACAGGGGAGAAACACAATTAAACTTCATTTTTAAAAAAATCATAGAAAAAAAAATCTTAAGTATTAAAATGCCCACAAAGATATTGCAGAGCTGTTCTGATCTGGGAATCCAACAAATGCAAATGAATTGAAACTTTCACCCCAAGGTGATAAAGTCTGATATTTAGATTGACAGGAAGGTTGCACTATAATGAATAGTGATTGACTGTGCACTATGCGGAGATTCTAACTTAGGTAAGCAAGAATATTGAAATCTAGCAGAATATGCTAATATGTTTCAAGTTCCTCTTTCAAAATACTCAGTGGATCTGAGACACCATTATCAAAGGTGTTTGCAAATTAAAAATGTTTATTGAAACTGATCCACTTCTTCAGGTTTCTATAGCCAGAGGTCAGCCAGTGGCCATAAATACTTTCAAATAATGGGAGGAAATGTTAGGGGTCATGAAGATTGTTGCATTCAGCAGCTATTGAGGAAGACACTACATAAACCTTGGAGGAATATCTTAGGAATAGCCAAGGATCTCACTTAACATTTTTGGGAGGCTAGGAACAATGTCGAGAGGCAGGAAAGTTTTTTGTAGGGCATGGGGGACAGGGGGCCTTTTTGGGAATTTTAATTTTCATCTATTTCCCACTCAACCAAAAGGAAATTATGCAACCTATCTTCAGAGTCTTTATCAAACGAGGATGACAAGATTAGAAAAAAAGCTTGAAGGCTGCATATAATCCTTCCCCAGAACCAGACTTTTAATATATTTCCCAGATCCCAGATTTTTATTTTTATTTTCAAGGGATGAAACTTGAAATTTAAATGGGAAGATCTGGAGATTGCGGGGAATTCATTAAGCTGACAAAACTGTTGG